TTTCGAACTTGCGCGTTTTCGATGTTCCCTCATCTTAATTAACATTTTAGTACAGCTAACATTTGCTCCTTCGCTATTCATTAACATTCTCTGATTATATCAGAGAATATAAGAATATCAGTTCTCTATGAATATATATCTGAAATAATTATGTGGCAGTGCGCCCCTAACCCCTCCTTGCCTGCGATCGTTCAACTCGCAAAATGCAAAAAGTGTGGACAAAGTCATTGCTTGTGCGGGGCAAGAAGAAGCAAGCATTTGCGTACGTGTATTTAAGAATGTATGTGTGATTATCACATTTGTGTAAATACGCATAATAAGGAAATATTCAATAAACCTAAACATATGAACATATTTTCCTGAAATATTTTAATTATCTCAGAAAGTAAAATATGCTATTTAAGTAATTGAATTGAGATATGCTAATAAATTCCAATCAATAAAATAAAAAAATTAAATAAAACTTTAATTTTATTTATTTTACGATTCGAACGTATAGGCTCGTATTCGGATTAAGCTTAACTCCTTCACGCTTACTACCTAAGCCACTACAAAAGTGGAAGCGCGGCCGCTTAGTCACCGTTTTATTGTTATCCCCTGTTCAATAAGCAATTACTCACGCAACGTACATACATAAGTTGGAAAAATTGCCTATTAAATGTTTATTTTATTATGAATTCTGGGGTTTTTACCGGTAATACAGATTTTTAATTCAGAAGGCTTTTCATAGTTATAAATTTGTCATATCATAGAAATTGAAAACATAAATCTAAATAAGTATGCGCAACGATTTTTCATTTAGGAATATTCGATGTGTCTATTTATAGCATTTCGCATATTATGTGGTGTGTTTTTCTTTTTCGATGTTCCCTCATCTGGAACTACAAATTAATACTCAAAAAGATTTCATTTAACATTTGCTCCTTCTCTATTCATTAACATTCTCTCGCCGAAAAACACAAACATTTTCGAAAATTTTATGAAAAGGAAGGACAGAAAACTCGATTCGAGTTGCTGAACTCTTTTTGCTCGTGTGAATGCCACTTAGCAGTATCAAATGTCAACGTAAGTATGTATATGTATACATATTTTGCTAAAGAAGTAAGTTTAATGTTTAGATTGTTTAAAACATGTAAGTGTTTTAAAATATTAAAATATTGTAATTTACAAGTTAGTTTTAAAAACCTTTTATGACTAAAATATATATGTACATACATACATATACTAGGGCCTAATGTAGGATATCTAGCATCTAAAACTAATGTTAATTATGTATACTTTTTTGTGGAATGGAAGCAAAAATACCCTAGAAATACAAAAAAAAAATGAAAAAACAAATGTTATAAGATCAAAGAATTTTATATCATGTTGTCCATGATCAGGGCAGCGTTGTCGTTTTGGTCTGATAACTTGACTTTGTTGTGATAAATGCTCGCCTGAGCTTCAAAGCGAAAATTTGACTGGTTAAAGATATTCGATTGGCTTGAAGAAAAGGAAGGGTGTTAGGTTAGGTTAGGTTAAGAGATCGATCTTAACTGGGATCTCACTTGGACTACTTAGAATGCCAATCCAAAACTACTATATAATAGATCATATGAAACTTACAAATCGACAAAGCGCTTTGAGCCTTTCACAAATTTGTTGAGTCTGCTAATGTCAGTTTCGGCTATGTCTTCTGGTTCGCCGTAGGTAAAAGTGCCGAGATGTTTCAACCTCGATCTTGCAAAAGCTAAGCAATGGAGGAGAAAGTGCATGGATGTTTTCACCTCACACTCCTCCATATAACTTTGACAACTAGTGTCCGACTTGATTTAGCCTTACCGAATGAATGCCTATTGGACAATATCCAGTCAGAACCCCTACTATTGCGTCATAATGAACTTGCTATGAGCAAGAAGTTAAGTACATCTCCTGCATTCTACTCTAGGGCAAAAAGATGTTGCTGTCGAAAAGGAGCGGGTTGTCGACCAGCGCCTAAACCGCTCACGCGAGGTCCATTGATCAAGTGCTAGAACGCAAGGCGTCAATGGAGATCCAACTCTGGCACCCAAACGAGTCTGATACTGAAGTAGCTTGATACTGTTTCAAGTGGAGACAAAACTCCTTGACTAGGTTTGAGCGTACAGTTAGCGAGCTCTGCGTTAGTATTGGCGATCTGCCGTCAAAGTAATTGCTCACCTCCATGAAAGAAGCTGCGGTGTGAACAATACGTCTACCGCTACCTTAATAGCGGTGGCTTCTGATTGAAAAACCCTACAATGATCCAGTAGCCTAAAGCTAAGATTGTCGAAGGCCTCCTTACAGAAAACTCCCCCTCCAATCTCCCCCTTAGCTTCGACCCATCCGTGAAAAAGCTCGACTCTCATCTTCTGCAGCAACTCCTCCCCATTCTCATATCCCACGTCAGAAGGAGGAGAGAATTTCGGACCCATTTATATACCCAGCTTCCTTGAACCTTAGAGCGCATTTCGTAGCAATACACCTGCTGGAAATGTCCACTGGAAAAAGGGTGTGCATGTTGCTAAATTTAATTGATCTATAAGGTTTATTTGTATGAACATATTTTTCTAAATGTGAAGTTAAATAAAACCCAATGTTTTGGTGATAAGAAAATTTGGTAGTTTTGCAACAGATTTGGTAGACATTTTTGTAACCAAAAATTTCCTGCTGTGACAACACTGGATCAGGGATGGGCACGACCACAACCTAACGACTCTCACAAAATGACATTGTGTTAGGGCGTTTATAGCAGTAGTCAGCATTTCATAGCACAATTGTGTACGCTTAATGCGCTGTTATGCATACATAACATAGCACTGCCATACATGAGTACTGTCAAATAAATAATCTATCTAATATGTTTTGCATGTATTTGGCTACTATGCAGGGCATGACAAATAAATCTATTAAACTTTGACTTCTATGCTGTGTGACATTTCATCGCTGCTATCTTTCTCACTTCTCCCATTGCGTCTGTTGTGCCACTTCAACAATGTTTCCAAAATTTTTTCTTTTAAAAACTCCAACAAAAACCCCCGAAATTCCCCTAAAAAATTATTTATTATTAAAATAAATAATAAATTATTCTTATATAAGTAATATATTCAATTTTAAGAATATTTATAAATATAAATAATCACACATTATTGAATTAATAATAAGTTTCAAATTATAAATAAAAGATAAAAATCATTTAGCAACCTTTTTAACCATATTTATTTTTTTCTAATACTTCAAGTATATTATCTTTTCTGAAGCGGTGTCATCAAATGATCTTGGAATTAGACTCAATCAGTTCCGAATCTATCAATTTCTCTAAAAGACATAGTACAACAAGTCGGTGCTACAAATTTTTGTATAACGAAAATAGATTTTCAAATATGTAGTATAACTGGTTCAAAGTTATCCCTTTCAACAAGATTTGAAAATAACAGCAATAGGTCAAATTGTCAGTGTAAAAAAATGAGAAGTGCCCAACAACTTGTAAACGTTACCTGTAACCTATTTTTCAGTAAAAAAAATTAACATTTAAAGTAAAGAAAACTCCTGAAAGTACCTCTAAAAAACTCCAATTCATCTCTTTCAACTCCTAAAATTAGGAGGGAAACGTCAAGTTGGTAGCACTGCACTTTAATTGTGCATTTTCATTTGTGATATTTCACATTGTGTGCTCTATGCAGTGCTGTGCTATGTATGCATAACTGAACTTTTACCAGAGATAAAGAGATGCCCAACTCATCTCGCACTGGAAATGACAGCGCAATTGCTAAACGGCAAAATCTCCTGAACTCAGGCAACTGTCAAAATGGGACGGCTAAATTGAAATCCTACAGAAAAATATGTGAACAGATTGAAAAACAATGAAAATTAAAGAAAACATGTAATGAAATATTTTATGATGCCATGCTTCGTATGATTAGTTTTCAATTGAAAATGATAAAAAACATTTATCAATTGGGAGCTAGTATATTTATTCTTTTGATTAAGTATTGAAAGTTTAAAAGTCAGTTGTTTTAATATGCCATAAAATCAATAAAAAAAATGTGTCATTACTTGTTCGACGAATTGTGATGCTCTTAGCAAGTCCTTTCAGCAACTTTATGTTTAAGTTTTAAACTCCTGCGTGAGCTCTATTCAGCACTATTTAGTACTTGTATATCATTTCCATGTAATCGATCGATCTTGTTCTGAATTGTTTATCAGGTATTAACCTGATGAAATTTATTTCAACTTTTCAAAATTAAAAATTATTAGAAACATTGTTATCATTTTAATGAATGTTTTTTTTTTTTTTTGATTAAACTACCGATTATTTAGCATTGGTTTTACCCTTTGCCTTTGAAATTGAATACAATAAAGCAGAATAGATATATCGCAACTTTCGCGAATGATCAGCAAGTCTAGGTCCAATAAGGAATCTACAAGTATTATGATCGAATAAGACTTGTGTTTTAATTAATTAATTTTAATTAATTTAGTTAAAGTCTTATTGCGACTTTATATCATATATTGGTGTTAGGGTGTCATTACACTGCATGCATATACTTGAAGTAGTTTATACCAGATAGGGACACATACATACATATGTACCATATACAACTTGGAAATAAAATGCTTAAAGATAAATTTATAATTTTAGATTTCACAAATCAATCACCTGGACATAAATACCCAATAATATCATAAAACAATGTTGTCCTTTTATTTTTATACCCTGTAAAATATATACACATGTTATTTATATACCTGAGTAGTACATAAATCATAGCAATTATTCAATATCTTACATAAATATAAATTAAATAAGTATTCAGACGCTAAATATTAATTAAATCGAACATGTTGCTAAAATTGGACATGTATATTTATGTTTTGTCATTAATACTGATGAGATTCATACATACATATGTATATGTATAATACATACCACAATATGCATGCATATGTCAAATATACATACTTATATGTACAACACTGAATTACATCTTCTTTTTTGCAAGTGAGTTCGACTACTCGAGAGTATGACAGAGGTTCTTCATATGACAATTACGGAGATAGTTTGAGAAGTACAGCAAGCTCAAGGTTAGAAAGGAGGAAACACGACGATCATAGATCTATATTTTCCTCAAGCCGAGCTGAGAGCAGAAATGAAGAGTACTATGGGTCGAGGATCGCAACGCGATCATCCTCGCGCATGATGGAAGAAAACAATTTTAAATCGTTAGAAAAACCCGAAATTCTTCGACCAACAAAAAGCGCTCAGGTTAAACGTAAGCATACTTTTTAACATATCTTCATATTTTTTTATTTTAAAGTTTATGTAACTATATTTACTACTCATATAAACAGAGAACGTAATGTCAGAGAACATCAATGAATAGAGAAGGAGCAAATGTTAAATTAAATCTTTTTGTGTACTAATTTGTAATTCCAGATGAGGGAACATTGAAAAAGAAAAATACACCACATAATATGCGAAATGCTATAAATAGACACATCGAATATTCCTAAATGAAAAATCGTTGCGCATACTTATTTAGATTTATGTTTTCAATTTCTATGATATGACAAATTTATAACTATGAAAAGCCTTCTGAATTAAAAATCTGTATTACCGGTAAAAACCCCAGAATTCATAATAAAATAAACATTTAATAGGCAATTTTTCCAACTTATGTATGTGCCTTGCCTGAGTAATTGCTTATTGAGCAAAGGAGAACAATAAAACGGTGGCCAAGCGGCCGCGTTTCCACTTTTGTGGTGGCTGAGGTCATAAGCAGGAAGGGGTTAAGCACATTCCGAATACGAACCTATACGTTCTAATCCTATAACTCATGTAAATTAAATTTTATTTAATTTTTTTATTTTATTAATTGGAGTCTAAGCAAATCATAATTCAATTTCTTTAATATCATATTTTACTTCCTAATATAATTAAAATATATCAGGAAAATATGTTCATATGTTTAGGTTTATTGAATATTTCCTTATTATGCGTATTTACACAAATGTGATAATCACACATACATTCTTAAATACACGTACGCTGTTGCTTGCTTCTTCTTGCCCCGCACATGCAATGACTTTTGTCTATGCTTTTGGCTTTTTGCGAGTTGAACGATCGCAGGCAAGGAGGGATTGGGGCGCACTGCCACATAATTATTTCAGATATATATTTTATTTATCGAATTTAGTTTAAAAACGATTATAGGTTTGAATTTATTGGTATTTATATTTTTACGTGTATATTAATTATATTACGAAAATTAATCATTAATGCATTAGTACTTTTCAATACAAATTAAGCAACATAATAATATACTAAGAGTCCTCAGTTAGAACGCCTCTGTGTATAGTGGCAAGCCAACGAAATAACGGCGAGTTCGCGCAGACATTGTGTTGTTGAAAAAAACCAAATGACGACTTTGTCCACAAACATACATATGTATATACATACATACATGCATATATGAGCTCGCATACATATTGACACCAAATTGTGTGAATCGTCGCGGAGTTGACAACATTTGTTTCAAGGGACAATTTTGCGACAATGACGGTCGGCTATGTTGTCTCGTTTCTTCTTTTTGCAGTGGTTTGCTATTGAAAGTTGACTTATGCTCTTTTGAAATAATGCGCTTACCGATTGCATTTTCATAACGTCGTATTAAGATAAAATTGGCTAAATCGACAAACTATGAAATAATAATAATAAGTAAACATATAAAAGTACTATATGGAGTGCTTAGAATATATAGAAGTAGTTAATTGGCAACATGACCTCTTAGCGATTTGAAATATTATTTTTATATTTTTCATATTATGCCATATTTATGGCATTAAATTATAAAATTTATATAAAATTGCCATTCATATAAAATCGTTAACTACTTCTATATATTCTAAGCACACTGCATATGTTTACTTATTATCATTGTTTCATAGTTTGTCGTTTAGCCCATTTTATCTAAATACGACGCTATGAAAATGCATCCCAATCGGTAATCGCAATATTTCAAAAGTGCATAAGTCAACTTTCAATAGCAAACCACTGCAAAAAGCACAAACGAGACAGCATAGCCGACCGTCATTGTCGTAAAATTGTCCCTTGAAACAAATGTTGTCAACTCCGCCACGATGCGCAAAATTCGGCGTCAATATGTTTGCGAGCTCATATGTATATATGTATGTATGTTTGTCGACAAAATCGTCATTTGGTTTTTTTCAACAACACAATGTCCGCGTGAACTCGCCGTTATTTCGTTGGCTTGCCACTATACACAGAGGCGTTCTAACTGAGGACTCTTAGTATATTATTATGTTGCTTAATTTGTATTGAAAAATACTGACGCATTTATGAACTATTTTCGTAATCTAATATATATTATATATATATATATATATAAATACACATATATTCATACCTATAATCGTTTTTAAACTAAATTCGATAAATAGAATATATATCTGAAATAATTATGTGGCAGTGCGCCCCAATCCATCCTTGCCTGCGATCGTTCAACTCGCAAAAAGCAAAAAGTGTGGACAAAAGTCATTGCTTGTGCGGGGCAAGAAGAAGCAAGCATCAGCGTACGTGTATTTAAGAATGTATGTGTGATTATCACATTTGTGTAAATACGCATAAAAAGGAAATATTCAATAAACCTAAACATATGAACATGTTTTCCTGAAATATTTTAATTATCTCTGAAAGTAAAATATGCTATTTAAGTAATTGAATTGAGATATGCTAATTAATTCCAATTAATAAAATAAAAGAATTAAACAATATTTCAATTTTACGTATTTTACGATTCGAACGTATATGCTCGTATTCGGATTGTGCTTAACTCCCTCACGCCTACGTCCTAAGCCACTATATAATTGGAAACGCGGCCACTTAGCCACTGTTTTATTGTTATCTTTTGGTCAATGAGCAATTACACACTCAATGCACATACATAAGTGGGAAAACTAGCCTATTAAATGTTTATTTTATTATGAATTGTGGGGTTTTTACCGATAATACAGATTTTTAATTCAGAAGGCTTTTCATAAATATAAATTTGTCATATCATAGAAATTGAAAACATAAATCTAAATAGGTATGCGCAACGATTTTTCATATAGGAATATTCGTTGTGTCTATTTATGCATTTCGCATATTGTGTGGTGTATTTTTCTTTTTCGAAGTTATATTTTTCGATGTTCCCTCACCTGGAACTACAAATTAGTACTCAAAAAGATTTCATTTAACATTTGCTCCTTCTCTATTCATTAACATTCTCTGGTAATAGAGAATGTTCATGGTGTGCCGGTTGTTCCACTTTTCGGGGGGGTATTTGTGCACGAAGGGAGGATTTTACTACAAAAAATTATCTTCACAGTTTTACATCAGTATTTATACAATCTTTTGAAATATATAATAATGTGAGGTTTGTGTTATTACTTAAATACAGGGTATCATTACAAAAACAAACCGTAATAACTATATTTCTGTGTGAGTAATCTACTTCCTTTTTTGCATTTGGTAGGTTATTATTTAAATTTTATTAAAAATTAATGTTTGAGATACCGAAAAGAGGGTTTGGATAGTGCTGCGGTACCATGCTTTGTGGTCCCCCGAGTAGATGGATCATTATGACGTTGGTAAACATGTTTGCCGAATCTGTAGCTAATATAGGTTTGATGAGTTATACAAGGTGCGTTCCAAAGTAAACAGTAAAAAAGTAACAAAGTAAACTCTAGTGGCGCCATCTATATGTCGACTAGTGCGTTAGAATCTGCTATCCTTTATCGACCGTCAGTAAAAATTTAATGACATTTCATCTATTGGAAGTGAAGTTATTGTGTTTTAAGTGTCAGTATGTGTTTGTCATCGGTGCGAAAATGAGCTTCGAACAAAGAGCCAACATTAAATTTTGTTTTAAAATTAGTTTTAAAATTAGTGAAACGTTTCAATTGATGAAACAAGTTTAAGGCGATGATTACCTATCCCGTAGCAGAGTGCACGAATGGTTTTGACGTTTTCAAAATGGTCGTGAGGACATAAATGAGAAATGAGCCGAAACCAAAAAAATTGCGCCTGGAGAAGTCAAAAGTGAAGACAATACTGATTTGTTTTAATGATTCCAAAGGTATTGTCCACAAAGAATTTGTTCCACCCGACCAAAAAGTTAATGCGGTATTCTACCTTGGAGTTTTGAAGCGTTTGGTGCGCCGTATTCGACGTGTTCGGCCCGAATATCGCGAAGATGGAAGTTTGTTGCACGATAATGCGCCGTCTTATCGATCGACGCTTGTGGCGATTATTTGACCAAAAATCACATTTTAACAATCAACCACTCCCCTTATTCACCTGATATGGCACCATGCGAGTTCTACCTTTTCGGAAAAATTCATTTGCCGATGAAAGGAAAGCGTTATGGAGGCCATTCAAAAGGCTTGTGAGTGAAAAAAGCTCTATTAAAGCAGAAGGAGACTATATTGAATAAAATTAATTGATTTTGCCAATAAAACCATTTGTTCAGTCTTTTTTTTTAAAGTCCTGTTTACTTTGGAACGCACCTTGTATGTATGTATATCTTTATATGTATTTATTTGCTTTGGTAATTAAAACTTTTGATAACATCTAAGACCGAGCGGTCGCACATATGCACATACAGATACATACATACATATATATAACAAGTAAGGAAGTGCAAAGTTTGTGGATCTTGCCGCCTTGTTCTATGTTGACCAATATTTTCGGTCAAAAGTCAACTTTAGACACTGGAGTCCAAATATTCAGTACCTAGGGGCTTGAACAGTTTTGGTTCAATTAAGATAATTTTTGGTCACAAGGTGGCATACTTTAAACGTATTATTCACGTAGAGTTTTACGCTGATATAATCATTGTTGATTGATTTGCATACTGGAAAGTGAAAAAATTAGATGGAATTTAAAATGATGTTATATGGGAAATAGGCGTGGTTGTAATCCGATTTGGTTAAAATCGGTTAAGCAGATCCCCAGATATGGGTTTTCACCCGATTTCACCCATTTTCATTTGATATTCGATAGAGATGCTAAAAACATTTGTTCCCAGCGAATTTTGTTATTATAGCTTCAGTGGTATAGGAGATATGCACATTAAACTTATTAGAGGGCGGGACCACGCCTACTTAAAAAAAAAATTTTAACTGCAGATGCTACTCCCTAATATGATTCTATATACCAAATAAGATTCTTGTATCTTGTTGTGGAGCTTAGTTATGGCAATTTATTTGT